AAACTCTTTCCATTTCTAACGTCTCTATCATCCAGGCTCTCAATCTCCAACATTGCTCCCTTTACCTCTTGTGATACCTCCAACGATTGGATCACTGCCCCTACTGAACCTTGGGACTTCATATATGTCTTCTTCCCTTCCACTTTCTTTGAACCCTTAAATAGCAAACCCTTTTTCTTAGAAACTCTCTTATATTTGCTTGTAGGACCAGCCCCGAATAGGCCTTCTTTCAATCTTGAAAAAAATTTTTAACATGCACTATATGAGAAATATTTTCAACCCAGGCTTTCTTCGACGCCTCCTCCCTTGCATGATTATCAGGGTTCATAAACTTTCTTTTTCTGCCCAAATAGATTCCTAGTCTTCCCACAATAACTGCAAAATTTGAGAATTCCTTGCAACTTCTTTGTGGACTGCACTCTCCATCTATGTTATCACCCTTAATACAAAAGCTATCTTCTGATCTTTTCTCCAGTCCTTTCAAATGGCATCTTAACATCCTCTCCTTCTTTAACACTCCCTTCCCCCTTTACTTCTTCCACCACTATTTCTCCCGAGCCTGAATATGGAGATTTTCTAAGTTGGGAATTGGATGCTCTTATCCTTACAGATATTTCTAGACCGCTGACTGTGTAAATGTGTTCAAAAGATCTTATAGTTGGATAATTTGATATGGGATCTTAGGTTTATAAAGAGATCTAGTAGGAACACAATAAATAGGGGTGTTCTTGGAATTCTATCTCTAGTTCTCTATTGGATTGCTTACTGTTAGAAGTTCTTTTTGGTACCTTATAGAAGTTATAGTTTACATATGTGTGTTCTGTGAATGCTCCCAGAATTCAAGGAATTTTCTATTGTTAATGCTTGCAGTTAGTTTTGTTCACAATGAGCACTATTCTTGACAACCTAACCAAAATTTATTTGAATCCAGATCTCCTTTCTTTGGGGAACTAGCTTCATAGCATTTTGAAATTTGAACTTGTTAGGTTTGGACAGTTTTGTGTGGAACATATAATCTTGAAAGAAGCTCCATCTTTCTAATAATTCCTATGCTAATCCATGTATTTATCATGGATTTTAGATTTTGAATTTTTCTACTCTGTCCTTTAATTCAAGTTATGATTTTATGATGACCAAGGGAAAGGGGAAAGATAGGGGAATTACGGAACCCAGGCGTTTTCTTCTTTACCTTCTATGGCAGGAACTGAATGAAAACAAATCTGGTCAGCCTAAATGGTTCATGTTACCTGGATCCAAAATCCCTTGCTTGGTGTAGTGGTAAGATTTCTGGCCAGGATGAGACTATGGGTTCAAGTCTAAGAATGCTGAGTTTAGGTCCTAATTTTTCTTCTAAGTGGATAAATTGCAAAAGAAGAGTTTTATTCTGTTAATCAGTAGCATGTTAGAAATATATGAATTGTTTTTTGCTTGTAGCCCAAATAGAAGGTTGAAATATAATGGCATGCTTTCATGGCTGATATATATCTTCTTTTTAATCTTTTCTTTTTTTCTTTGTTAAAAATTCTAGCGTGCCATATGTCAGAATGCACGAGTGCAGCTATAGATACTACTTATGTTTCTTTCTGGATTGCAACAGATGTTTCTGTATTTTTTATATATATTTTGTCTTTGTGTTTTTCATGTAATTTTTGTTGTTTCATGCACTTTAGATTGGATTAGACTCAATCCGGTCTATTTGCATTTTAATTGGACCATATTGGACTTGGTTTGTATGAGATTATTGGGTCCAATCCATTTTAATATGTACATGCCTATGTATTGTATTCACTAGTTTGATATTGTTGGGTTTCTGCAAAACTTGAAGGTCCATGAAAACATAAGGCAGTTGTCTCATCCCATCGCATATGTTTGCACTCTATTGTTCACATCCATCTCCATTTGCAATAGGGCCTAGGGGGTTTGTCTGATACTTCATTAAGTCGTTCAGTTCAACCACTTCAGCACTGCCCACCCAACCCGGTCTGCCTTACGAAATTGTTGTGGTTCAGTTGGCATCAAAGAATGCAGGCTTGATGGAGAAGTTGTCGCTTTATTCTCAGGACCAATTGGGTATGAAAACTCGATTCAAGTAAAAATAATGACACTCTTACAAGGCTTGAAATTAGCAGTGCAATTAGAAGTTAGAGAGCTGGAAGTAGAAGGGGACTCACTATTGGTCATCTCTTGGGCTGAGCAAGTAAACTTAGCACCCTAAAAGTATAGATTTTCATTCAGGGAGATTGACCCTTGCTAAGAGTTTTAACTTTAAATTTGGGTGGGTTAAAAGGATAGAAAATGGATTGGCAGATACTATAGAAAAACAGGGAGTTGATAGGCCTACTCTATTTTGGCCAAAACTATAGTTGGTTGTATCAAACAGAGAGATGATGATCTTTGTAATCTGGGACAAATTGTTGTTGCTATACTCTGGACTGCAGAGTAGCTAATACATTTGTAATATGTTTTTAAATTAATAAATAAAATCTCTTTGCTAATCAAAAGAAAATTATATTTTCTGGGTTTTCATGTAATTTTGAAGTTGCATTCAGTTTGGACTGGATTGGGTCCAAGCTGATCCATTTGAATTTCAATTGGACTGGATTGGATTTGGTTAGTATGAGTTTGGACTGGATTTGGTCCAATCTATTTGTAAATGGACCGATGTTCGATTGGATTAGATTAGACTAAATCCGATACAAGTGATAGCCCTACTCGGTAACTATTTTTCTAGTCACGCATAGTTGGGCCCAAGCTTTACAAGAATGATAAATGAAGACTGTTTTGCTTACATCGGCAAAGCATACCAACCAAACTTTTCATCTAAATATAATGCCAAGACTTGAAGACCCATCAAATCTAACCCAAAGAGAAGGGCAATTGAAGTATCCCAAATAGGTACAACAAACCCATGTTGAAGCAATTGTGCTTGCAAAGTAAGAAGCCCAAATGCAGTGCATAGAACAAAGTATAGCAGTAGGTATAATTTGAACCCTAATGCTCAATTCGAAAAGAGTACAAATGCAAATATGTATAATGCAAATTGTTAGATAGTGTATGCCCTTAACTCCAATTAGATTGATGTACAAATACATTTATTGTAAATGAATAAAAGTACATTATTGTTCCATGTTGATATTGATATGTTTTTATGAAATTACCCCTTAAATTGGACACTTATGAGATTCATGTTAGTTTATAATGTTCTCAGCCGTTGAATAGACTTGTGGAGTTTATCCTACCAAGGCTGACACTAATGTGCTACTAAAAAAGTTGGGGCAGCTTGTCTCAACTGCTACGGTTAGACCCAAAGCACATGTAGTGTGTGTTTGTTTGAAACATTGAACCCGGACCAATTTCCAGTTATGCCCTAGACCTTGGAGATTGATGAGCAAAATTGAAAAGTTACACATAACCCTTATACTTGATTATGGTACTGCACTAGGTGTCAGATTGAGTTGTCTTGGATATGCCAATCAGTGAGATCCATTGAGGGTTAAAACTTTAGTATATTGGGGCAGTCTGAAAATTCACTTAAGTGAGTGATCATAGTAATAAGATCGGCCCCTTTGTCGAACAAAGTGAATGATAGGGCTTACACTCTCTCTAAAGGAAACCTAAACTACCGATAGTGGATTTCAACTGTGTTTGAGATTTGGTTTTGCAAAATATATTTATATGATTTATATATTATGTTTTATGGAAAAATGTTTGCAAAAGGTTTTAATTCCTAGGATCCATCCGAGCAGAGAGTGTGACACTGCACCTTGCAGCCAGGGGAGAGGTTCTTCCTTGTCGGACAATGTTTAATCATTATGGGCCGAGAGGTTAAGTATAAGAAACCATTACAAGGTTTATTACTTGATGAGTTTTATCTTACTTAAGTCAATTATCCTTAGGTTTTCATCGGATGGATGAATTCAATGATCATTTAAATGTAAATGTTGGGCCCATTTTGAGCCCATAGTGATGTGCTTAGGGATTCATTGCATTTAGTAGTGAATTCAGCCAGGCCTTTTCACAGAGGCTAAGCCGAACCCATGTAGACTTATGTGAGGTCATTGTGGGGTCCCATGCTATACAAATCAGGCCTAAGTTGGCCATGTAACACCCTTGGGTCATGAGCCTTATAGATAATGGGCCTAAAGCCCATAATTAATATGATTAATTAGGCTGTCACATGACACCTTAATTTGTCATGTGACATGGGGCGAATCTGGGTTTGGAAATGGGTATGGAGTACTTATCCTCTTAAGAGGATAAGACTTATCTTTTAACAGAGTCTAGATCCAAATTAGATTTGGATAATCTCCTAATTTGACTAGGAGAAGTGCTCTATAAAGATTTAAAGAATAGGGCAAACTAGACTAAAATACCTCTCAATTCTACTCTCTCTTCTTCTTTTGTCTTTCAAGAAAAATCCAAAGGAATTTCATGCTCACCTCCCCAATTCAACCTAAGCAGTTGGATTGTAGTTTTACTGAAAACTGTGGTTGAACTGGTTTCAAGAGTACACTACGCCATTTTCAGTGGAGGCTAGTTTTATGACTGATTTGGGCGTGAAGTTTCACCTTGGAATCTACGTTTGTGGTATCTGTATTAGGTATACATCTCCTTCTTTGTTTGGTTTCAAATCTGGTCCGATTCAGTGCAAGACCGATCCTTGAAAAATCCAGTTTTTCGAAACATAGGGAATTCGATTCCTGAAAGGATTAGGAAATTTTTGAAATTTCGCCCATCCATCTAGCATAGTTCGGCCATCCATATGATGGATCCTAACCCTTTCTTCACAAATACATATAAAATAGAAGGTTTTGCACTCTAGATATTTGCATTTGTACTCCTTCCAAACAGAGCTTAATGGATAGAACCACTTAAGTAGATAAAAAGGTCAAAAGATATTTCACCATTCATTTCATGGAAAAGGAAGTGGAAGAATAAGGAGTAGAAAAGTTTAGAAGATTTGTTTTGATATAAAAATTGTGTAAGAAAGAGAGAGAATGTTTGAAGAAAAGAGGAGAAAATTTGAGGTCTGGTTGCCTCTTTCATTAGCTTATATATTCACAAATAAAAACTGAATACAATGACAAGTATGCCCTTAGTAAGTCCGCTACTTGTAAAATCTAAATAAACACTCTTAACTTAAACATAAACTAATAGACCTTGGTCCCAATAACTCCCTAATTATGCTATGTAAATAAAAAACAAATGATATCAGCCCAAAACTCAAGGCAAATGGTGAATCACATAAATCAAATAGAACCAAGTGCTATATGATAGATCAGGAGATTGCAACCTTCGTCTTCATAAATATTTTTGTTGTGGCCCAGTAGTTGTGTCTTCTGGATGAAGATCTGACAAGTGTTTACATGGATACAAAATGATTTAAGAGAAATTAGTCCATCCTCAACGACAAGAAAAGCATAAAAAAAACAATGACGATGGAAGCTTACAACAAGTTAAAAAACTGTAGATCACTATTTTCCAAATGTCTCAATGATCAAAATATGTGAATTTCAATATCCAGAACATTATAATTGTTTAAAATACAAGACACGCTTTCTACAAAGAATCACAAATGTGTTACAGTGATAGGCCCCAGATATCATTAAAATGTGTTGAGAAACTCCAATTTCTAGGCCATAGTATTACTAATGAAGGCATTGACATAAGGAAGAACCAATGGAAAGTTTTTCTGGTACTATATAGTACATATTAGAGGAGAATCAGGGATCAGGACAAAACAGAGTGCACATGAAGCCCACTGGCCATACCACAAAGAGTTTGCAATTCCACGGGTTTGATCCCACACCTCCTATTTTGATGTCTCGAGAACAAGGTTTTTAAGTCCTTAGAAATTTACTATTCTTGGGAAAAATTAAAATCACAACTTATGCATCTTTCTTTTCTTTCTCTCTACTTAAATAATTCTCCCTCTTCTTCCCACCACATTCATCTTAGTAGGACTTTTCTCCTTATCATCCTACATCAATCACCAAAATCGCCTTTCATCACCACACAAAGCCCACCACCAGATCTGAAATCTTTTAAGACCCCCTACTTTGTCTTACATAAATCACAACCCATGATACCTGGACACATTTACATGCTCTGTACAGCCATATTGGACACTATGGACACCTAATATTTCATTGAATAATGCATGGACACTTATGGAGTATCCTTATAACATGGACACTTCTAAAATATGCAAATAGAAATATACAATAAAGTTTTAGTGTTGAAAAAATAACTTATAAAATTACACAAAAGGTACAAAGTAAAATACACTCAGAATTTACAAGCCACCTGGGTAGGAGATCTCAAGTATTTATTTCAAATTTCAAGGACATAATGTAAGAGCTAGAGCAGAAAATTCGTTGATTATGGAATTGAGTCCAAGGGAAAAATAAATAATTACCTAAACAGCACTATTCTTTGTTTAAGACCTTGGGAACTTTGATATATGGCTCCTCAAAGCTTGGAACTGCAGATAACATGGCCTCCCTGTTTTCAAAAAGCAAAGTTACACTGAGCTTGATTAAGGCATAATAATGCTCATCAAATTCTGATGGTAATGTGTTAAAGTGCTCAGGAAATAAGATTAAAATCTGCACCACCTATTCTCAAATGTTTCAGGCACATCATTCCGCAGATTGTCACCTTCAGTATCTGTAAACAAAAGTATAGAAGCTTAGCACAGAGGGACCAGAGCCACATCAAATTTCAGGTATGTACATAAGTCACCTAGGGCATTAATTTTCATGTATTCATAAACACAAAACAAACTTTGGCAGGTGGCATCAGATACATATAGAACAGAACCCAGTGTAACCTGACCAAATGAACATGAACAAGACAATGATGTAAAAGATGGGAATGCTTCACATGAAGGGAATGCATGAAGTCTTATTTGTGTCTAAACTATGGAGACACATGATCCATTAGCTAAAGTTAAATGAATCACATGATGATATTACCTCTCTTAGCACCGTAATGAAGAAGGCACTCCTTGTTCAAGAAAGACAATGGGCACCAATTGCTTCTTGAAAAATCAATTGACAAACGTGAGTGCAAAGTAGCCAATACCATATTCCCTTCAGAAGGCCTCCATGATTTAACTAAGTTGTCAAGACTCAGACAAAACCAGACAGCTGGACTAGAACCGGGAACCAGCAGCTAAAACAGTTTCTAGGCTGCCTGGTTTTTAGAAATCTTTACTTGATCAAACCTACCTCATAAAGGCTGGTTAATACCTATTATAACCTGGAATTATATGCTATTTTTCCCTTTTTAAGCTTATTTTTATATAAAATAGCTTCAAAAGATAATCTGGAATTATTTTCTATATGTTCCTTTTTTGCATTTTTTTATTTGAGCAAGTTGAATGGTTGAACATGACAACTGGACAGTTTGACAACCTGATCTGGTGATCAAAACAGTTTCAGATCCAGACCAATTTTGACATTGGTATGTAGTTTACAGAATTTGTTACCAACAGGAGGCAGACACCCTTGTAAACTAAAATTAAGTTCCTAAACAACTTGTGCATTTGTAATATATGAGTAGAGTTGACTGTCAAAAAACCTGCTCTAAGTGCAGGCTCAATACTTTGAAGATCAACAGCTTGGAGTTGTCCAAACCTGTCATAAGAAACAAAAAACAGTTTAATAACCATCATAATTGTAAGAATGAGCCGAAAATCATTATAACTGTGGCAAAGATTTAAAATAATTAGTAATGACCATAATTTCTCCCCTCAACAAGTTCCCATGTTTCATTTTTGAATGCAACGAATTCTTTTAATCATTTTATGTATTTTACCAAGGTTTTGAAAGGCTAAAAGCCAAAGTGAAGCAGCTGGGTTTGGAGTGTCAAACCAAAAATAAGCATAAACAAAGTTTGTAATGCCCCACTCCTGGCCCCGTTTTCCCCCACAAAGAATGTTATATACAGTAAATTTTTTAATTTTTGTTTCCATAAATTTTGAATCTTGACATTTAAATTTGAAGTTTTAACTGTTTGGCATAATCCTAGCTTACTTGGACCTGTCCAGGAATTTTCATCTAATAAAGAGGTGGTCCGTAGTCCTATCCTGCTTGCCACAGAAAAGGCTATTTTGGGGCATATGCAGGAAGTACAATTAAGATAGTTTATATCAAAGTCCTATCCTCCCCCATTGGAGAGCAGCAGGAAGTGCAATTAAGAGAGTTTATATCAAATAATCACTTAAAGTTTTTAGTAGCTAAAAATAACCAACACATTAGAAAAGTTTAAAATCTTGACAGAGTATCTGCCACTAGGCCCCGTTTGGCATCAATTCTGGGAATTTTCATTCTCAGAATCCTTCCAGAAAAGAATGGATTCTAAGAAGTTTCATCCAGAGAATTGTCAGATGTGTTTGGCACAGTCATCTAATTCCTGTTTCTTAGAAATAGAATCACATTTGATGGCAACCAATTTATTGGAATCAATTATCTAGATGACTGATACACAAAACCATATCTTAGATTTAGCAATGTGATATCAAGGCTCACTCCAATTGTCTCCTGAGAATTGTTGATGTCCCTGGAAACATTGGGCACAACTACACCTTCATAGACCAACAGATCTCTTGTGTTATCTTCATCGACCTCAACTCCCCCTTTCTTTTTAAAGACTCTATCAAACAAAGAAGAGATAGACTTAATTCTGTCAAAAAAAAGCCAACAACACCAAAGTACAACTGAATACAACACTTTATTATTATGAGTTGTAATTCTTGAGTACATGTAGACCCATTTCAAATCAACTCTTACGTAAATATAGATCAAGGTACAACTGAATACAAAACTTAATTCCACCATTTATGATCTGTTTTTGATCCAACAGATTTGTAAAAGGATTTGGATATGCAACAAAACAGACCAGATTGTGATTTTACAGTCTCTAATCCAAACCAGAATTTGATTTTTATTTGTATTAATAGTTATGCCATTCTATTAGAATTGGTGGTTTGAGCTCTTTTTTCATTGTACAAGTTAATTTTTTTATACATGAATTTCATTATAATATTGATAATTTGTTAACTATAACAGTCTACATATCAACAGTTCTCCAATGGTTTTTACCTTAGGCAGTGGCCTTGAGAAACGATAGCCATGATGGTTCAGGGAATTAGAAAAAACTGAACTTTGGAGAGGTGGCTTCCTATATATATACAAGACTTTAGGGGCTTCTTAAGGTTCTAAGATCCAAGAATCTACAGTGGATTGTTGCTACAAAGAACAACTTGCAATCTTGGCCTAGATATGATCCAACACCCCCCACCTCTCTTCCATTCCCCTCCCATTCCCAAGAAAGGAAAAATACTGAGTGGAATATGTTTTTTTTATGACAAATAAAAAATAAATTTTATTAGAGAAAAAAGAAAAGGAAATTGCAGCAGGATGATAAGTGATCACCCAGCAATAGCAGACCCAAAAAACAACAGACCCGCCCTAACAAAGCCCCTAAAAACAGAGAGAAAAAACCTACAGATATACCAAAGCACCTTAAGAAACAAACCCATATCCAAATACAAATATCACAATAAAATCACAGAGGTCCCTACCACCAACGCCTAAACAACACACAATAGACTGAATATCCCAGAAACCCAAATCCTGCAAGAAGATATATATGAAAAACATCCTGAAACCAAACAATCCAACTAATGAAAAGCTCAACTTAAACTTAATCCATTTTCCCATGCCCATTGTGTAATATAAAAATCTCTTGTCTCATCTGGGTAACTTTCTTTGTCTTTCTCCCTTTCTATTTTAATCCCGCTCCATAACATTTGAAGATCAGTTTTCTGTTTTCTAAATCTTCTTACTGCATTACTGGAATAATTTAAAACACCTGAAGTTACTGAGTTATGTCACTTGGAATAAAGAAACCAAATATGACATCAACAGAACCATACCTTTCACCAGTATCTTTGTACTGAACACCTGTTATTGTTCCAAACTCATCTACATCCTGATATTGAGATTTCACCCGTCGGACTGGCACTGTGACAGAGTACACAGAAACCCTCAAATCTGAATGCTACCTTTGTAGGTGCACAAAAATGTCAAAGGGGGTGTGCAGGATAAGAAGAAGTCAACATCAAAGAAACCCTCAAATCTGCAGAAATCGCCATCACTTCTCACTTGTTTGACACGAGACTGCAAGAGAGGTTCTTTGCACAGGGGTAGCGGTGACGGTGAAAACAGAATAGAGAGTAGAGTTTTTTTTCTAATTTTTTTGATAGGTCAAATATGACCCTCATTTCACGTGTGCAAACTAGCAGATGTGTTCATTTTAGTTAAAGAACGTAGCTAGAATTAGGCCAGCTCCAGAATCACATTTCTTAGAAGCTGGAATTTTTCATTTCTAAGAATTGACTCTCCGGATGGGTTTTTCTATTCTAGATAGAATCCAAAACCAGGAAATCATATGACCAAACGTGATTCTACTTCGGAGAATCGCGAGAATCACCAGAATCAATTCTCCAGAGTGATACCAAACAGGGCCTTAAATGCTGTAGATATGTCTCCTTGCTGGGGGTTGCAAAAGCTTTTTTTCTAAACCCCACCAAGAAGATTTTGTGTAGGTTAAAAGGAAAAATATATATATAAATAAATACTAAGCAAATTAGCAGAAATCCAAGCTTCAAACTGTCTACCCCTACTCTGTCTAAGAAGAGCAAGATGAAGAAAGGGGTGTAGACCCTTCTCCCAGATTCTTTTTCTAAAAAGAGAAGAACATAAAAGGGTTACCACCTCCCTGCTTTTTCTTATTTGAAGAACATGATAGCTCTGAGTTTCCACTCAAATCTATGTCTCAAATTCCCAAAACTTGGTCAAACAGGAGATCTCCAATTTATCATTAATCCAATTTCCTTCTTGTAATAAAATGAAAATTGCATTTTCACCCTTAGGCTATATAATCTAACCATCAGTTTTGTGTTTTACAGGGCCATCCATTAAGGCATCTGCCTCCTGCAACCTGAGGCAAAAGGCACAAGGCATATACCTCTTTGCATGGCATCAGTATGAGGTGATTGGAACAAAGTAGTTTGGCTCTACCTTGCCTTGAGGTGTGGGGGAATATTCCTCATTGCTTCTCCTCTTGACCTTTTAAAAAACATGTATTTTACTATTATCACATGCTTCAATTTTACCCTTGATTACTATAGTGTTGGTGTATACCCACAACGAAAGTAGGTCCTGAGAAGTATAGAGTGTTGGATTGAAGTCTTTGTATGTATGAGTATTCGGCTGATAAGAGCTCTTATTAGCCTATACTTAAGTTTAAGTTGTCCTGTACTGGGCCTTTGTTAATGGGCCTAATGTTTAATGTTTTAAGTTGTCTGGGTGTCCCATCACTAATCAGGAGCATTCTAGTAACTTCCTGTATCATTGTACTACACCATAATATAAATAATAGTACTGTCGACTGAGCAGGTGAGTTCGACATTCCTGCATCTCT